CCTAGCATTTCTGCCAAACTTTTCTGACTTGACAGGCAGACTCCTGATAGTGGCAGGAGCCGCAGCAGTCTTGGCAGCCCAGGTTGGTAGTGCCTGGCAAACAATAATCACTATAATTCACGTGGGCTGTTCTTAGTAGTTACAGTAGATAACATGAGATGTGTGTAGTCTCAGAGTTGGTACTTTGAGATGACTCAGTCCTGAAGGAAACTGTCCCTGTAATGTTCATTTTTCGTCACTAGAAGTCCAATGTGTTATCCATTATACCACAGAGCCACATGTAATGTTCATTTTTATGTGTGTTCCCACAGTATAACAAGCTTAAAAGACTTGTTCTGCCAAATGCTTCTGAGCAAGCTAGAACATTCCAGAAAAGTTAGACATCTGATTTAACAAATGACTCATGTAGAATTAGAATGAACTCTGATCTTAGGTTGCACAGATAGTATGTAAGTACAATAAGCAAGAGCGGGATCTAAACCAGGAACTCTAACAATATGGCAGCTTCCTTTACAGGGTTACCTTTACTGTAATAAGCACACATTTTAAATCAAAAGTTAAAAGTGTTGATAAAGCTATGCCGGAAGTAACTCTCTGCAATACTTCATCCTTTTCCCCTGAACATATTTTTGAGGCCTCTCTCAGGACAGTTTCCAGTCTGTAGCTTGCATTGTAGTTATTTATATACATGTTTGATCTGCCCTATGGAGGTAACTGTAAAAAGCAATAAAGGCAGGGACACCCTCTGATCCATCTTTGTATGTCACAAGGTGCCTGCTAAGAATGGTCTCTTACACAAAGGTGATGCATGATCTATATTTAATCAAGGCATAGATGAATTCTTGTATGTTTTCGGTCATGCGCTTACTAACACATTTGAAAGACAGCTTCCGATGTGATCCTATGCAACAAAAATATTTTAATTCATGTTTTTCATGTCAAAGTGAAGGAAGGTGATGAGTAGGAATAGGGCTAGCATCACTGCTTCGGACATGCTCCTTCCTCCTCCCTCCCTCCCTCCCTTCTTTCCTTCTTTTTTCTTTTTGAGACAAGTTCTCTCCATGTAGCCATGGCTGGCCTGGAACTCACTATGTAGACCAGACTGACCTCAAACTCACAGAGATCCACCTGCCGCTGCCTCGAGCACTGGGCCAGGAAAATGCTTTCAGCTTCCTTAGATGATGGGTATGGCAAAAAGAACTTAAGAGAGCAGGAGACTGAGCCCCTGGGCTGTGTGATTATGGCAAAGATGCTGGAACTCTGGTCTCGGGATCCTCCCCTTCTATGAAAGAGGTGAGGCTGACGACTGGACCAACTGTTGTTCCTTCTCACTTGTCACCATTGCAGGAAACTGGGCTTTAGGGATCCTTCAGCCCTGGGACAGGGATGTTAAGGTCATTTAGCTCCAGGATGGTCCTTCAGACCCTCTTACATACTCATGCTGTTCTGTCAATGATGGCTTCCTACAATACAGTGTTCAGAATTTTGAGCTCTTGCCAGGCGGTAGTGGCACTCACCTTTAATCCCAGCATGCAGGAGGCAGAGGCAGGTGGATCCTTTGTGAGTTTGAGGCCAGCCTGGTACAGAGTGAGTGCCAGGACAGGCTCCAAAGATACACAGAGAAACCCTGTATTGGAAAACAACAACAAGACAAACAAACAAAAACCCCACAAAAAACAAACAAACAAAAAAACCAAAAGCAAAAAAAAAAAAAAAAAAAAAAAAAAAAGAATTTTGAGCTCTATTTGAATTTGGCCATAAAGCCAGCTTTGACTTATTCCTGTTGTCTGCCATGAATCAGGGGCAGGAGTAGCAGCAAACCAAGCACACAGGCCAATGCCCCCCCCCCAGGAAGACAGTGAGGCCAGAAGCTCATTTTTGTAGTGTACACATGCCAAGACACTGTACAAAAGACTTTTACAGGATTATATTTAATCCTTACACAGCCTCAAGAAATGGTATTATTCAGATTCTCATTATGAAGATGGGGTTTGGGAAAGCAAAATTTACTGTAGGTTCATGGCCACAGCCCTATCCTAAGCAGGCACTTCTGCTACCTCTTGATCCGTGGCACTGGCTGAGTGCTAAGCCAGTAGTTTTCAGCCAGGACTGATTCTGCCCTCCAGGGATCTTTGGACAATGTCTGGGGATTTTTGGTTGCTACATCTGGGTAGGACAGAGTGTTCTTTGTCCTTGGTGGATAGAGGGTAGAGATGTAGCTTATAGGCACTAGATATCCCTACTCACAAACAAAGAACTCATGGGCCCAAAATGTCAATCACACTGGGGTTGGGGGCTCTGTTTTAGTCTGCATGGCAATTGTTTTCAGATTGCAAAACTTTTGAAGTAGACCGATAAATACAATGACTATTTCCATCTCACAAAATAGGAAAGGTGGTCACTTAACCAGGCGTCATCATGACAAGAAGCTGGGGGTCCAATTCTAGAAGGCCATATCGTTCTTGCCTACATTCCATTCTGACCAGCTTCTTTTACCATGAAGACATACAAAACCAGGAAAGCACCTGCTGGCCTATGACACATTTCAGAGGCCTTAAACATTCAGCCAGGCCAGCAAGATGGTTCAGGGGTGAAGACACTTGCCACTGAGCATGAGTTTGATCCCTAGAACCCACATGGTGGAAAGAAGCAACTCCAAGTTGTCCTCTGACCTCCACATTTACACAGTGGCACACACACACACCATTGATAAATGTAAAAAAAAGAAGAAAAGCACTAAGCCAACAGCAGAAAAGTCTCCCACGGTGGTGGAGCATCTTAAAGGATCAACAGTATATGTTCAACTGTTCAGAGAAAAGAGCTCTATAGACTTACTATGCAACCATTGATCTTTCTCTAGTACATTCAGATCATTGTGCTAAAATAAGACTGTGGAGAAAGCTAATTTTAGGACAGTAACAAGCTTTTGCAAGATAATTAACTCTGCGTGGGTTTCAACTTTAATCTTTCCCCTCTTGATTTGTAGGAGCGGGAGCTCCTGGAAGCTTATTTAGAAGAGGAAGTGAGACTGAAGAGACTCACTGAGATTCCTCTTTCTTGGAGGCAAGGCAGTTTGAATATGAACAAATCTCTCATCCTGTTTCATTAACTGCCTCCAAGCACCAACCGGAACACACAGGCAGCCTGGAAGAAACAGAAGAAAAAGCCAAGGACTGGATGCCAGTTTGAACAGTAAAACTGAAGCTGTCTGTCCAACCTGTGGCTACCAGGCCATTTGGTACAGGCTACAGCCTCCTTGGGCTCAGGGTAGCTATGAATCAGGCTCCACACAACGTAAGTGTGTACGTATATAGTTATGTACGTACACAATCTCGAGTGTGCACTTTGGAGATGATAACCACAGTGTGCAAAGTCCAAAGGCTGGATACCTCTGCAGCGAAGACATTCCTTTGGGATAAAAGGCTTGTCTTCTTCAGGAATGAGAATCCGGAAGCCACAAGGAAGTTTGGAAGCAGGGACCGGAACAGAAAAGGAGAGGGTGTCTTGGGGGAAGTTACTAGAAGTAAAGTGAGAGTGGCTCAGACACCCAAGCTGGGCGTGGACATGGTTGCCTTGGGTTCCCAGTGGCAGCTCGTACTCCTCCAGGCTTGGGGCTGTGTAGGAAGCCGAGTGCTGAGGCTCACAGTGTCTAGGGAATCTGAGGTCCTAGCCATGCACCACCCCCACTCCAACCCCCTCCACCTGCGAGAGCCAAAACAGACAGCTCGAGAGAGTCTGCGTCAGCGTTTGTTCCAGAGAGCGAATATCCAAGCATGGTAAATGAAACGTGGTTTATACAGTTGTGGAAAGCGCCTCAGAAACCTTAATACGGGGTCACCCTGAAAACGTCTATTGCCACCAGTGGCAGCTGGTGAGCACTTGGCATTCTGGAGCGCCTCGAGTGTCAACAACAAAGCCAAAAGACCCAAAGTGCCCTGCTTGGTGAGGCAGGCCAGGCGGATCTTAAGGAGATTAAATACATCGCGTCTGCAGTTCCGAGTGCTGGGAAAGCTCTTCCCCAGAGTGGCAGCGCCCTTCCCGCTTCTCTCTCTCTCCCTTCCTCTCCCTCCCTCCCTCCCTCCCTCCCTCCCTCCCTCCCTCCCTCCCTCCCTCCCTCTCTCTCTCTCTCTCTCTCTCTCTCTCTCTCTCCTCTCTCTCTCTCTCATCTGCTTCCTTTCTAGAATGTAGGTTCCAAGAGGGCAGAAACCTTGTGTGTGTTCCTTTATCGCAGGTTCAGGGTCACATCTGCTGTTGGCATTCATCATTCCCTGCCCACCGTGCCACCTGAGGCGCCGGACTCATGTGCGGTCTGCAAATTGACCTCTAATTATCAGTGGCTGGCATCCAAGCTAGGATTCCAGCAAGTGGGCAGTAATGTCGGATAGGTCTGGCCGTGTAGCCAGAGACTCCTGCTTTTTAATCGCCAACTACATTGCATCTTCTTTCCTGGCCCTTGTACGGGGGCTGTAAGAACAAAACACTCCTCACTCCTCTACTGTGCCCCCGCACCATTCTGCACAACTGCTTCAGGAGGCCGAGTCCAGTGTCTGAACTCAGTCTTCCACTCCAATTCTCCTCAACATCGTATGCCTAACGCCCTCGGCTGAGCCATATCCTCAGGCTTCTCAGTGGTCAAGTGATCCTCTCCTGTTGGACTACTTTAGTTCCCTGGAATCTTCCTTCTTAAAACAGCTCCTCCAGCGCGTACCTTACCTCCTAGTCATTCAATAAACATTTACTGAGAGTCTGTCGGGCGAACACTGCCCCGGGATGCCTGAAGCTGCTGCCCCGCCTAGCCACACCTACCATCACCCTCGGCTCCTCTACACGCCCTGAACCCTGGGTGGCGTCACGGAATCCGCGTGCAGCTTCCAAGGGCAGCGTCCCACCGCCTTTCCCCAGATGACTCCTGATTGGTGGGAGTGGGAGCCACTCTGCTGAGCCCCCCCCTTCCGTGTTGCTCCTCCCTCAAGGAAGACACAGGCTCCTCCTCCTAGCTCCCTCCCCTTGCTCCAGCTCCTCAGCTAATCACCCCGCGGCGCGCGCCCTAAAGTTCTGGGCAAAGTACTGAGAACTGGTCGCGGGATCGCACGCCCGCCAGTGGCAGAGGACCAGGGACCTCCGCGCCAGGAAAGCTGGTGCGCAGCGCTGCTTCCGCCCACCATCTGTCGGCGAGTGGAGCTCGGCGCCCCAGTCTCCTGCGGTTGGTGCTGGAACTGCCGTCGGCTGAGCCTTGCAGGGACCCGAGAAGCCGAGTTTGTGTCCTTCCCGGTCTGAAGCCTGCACTGGGGAACCACGCAGCGTCCACAGCTGCGGAAAGCTCAGGTGAGCAGCAGGGCGTCCGCCGGGGTGGTGTTGAGGTGTGGTGGATGCCCGGGGAAGGTCCAGGCGCGCTGCCAGTCTAGGGTCCCGAATATGTCTTTGCTGCTCCTGGTTAGTCCCGCCCCACCGGGCAGCCCTGAGACTCGAAGGTCGTCTGCGGTGTCGGACCCAATTTTCTGGGAGGGAGCATCCTGATTCTGCTCACGCTGAACCTGTACCCCTCAGTGACAGCCCAGCCGGGATGGACCGGGAGAAGGAGGGGAGCGCGGGAGCCTGTATGCGGGTGCAGGAGGATGCCCTGCAGTGGAGCTGTCCCGGGCACAGCCTGGTATCACGCCGGGGCGGGAGGTACAGGAAACCTGCTTAATTGGTCCAGGAGGGAGGCTTTACCACATACATCCGCGAGCTGGGCCCGGGCGGTACAGGGCAGGTGCCTCTCTCTCAGGTCTCACCAGACAGGTCGCCTTGCTCCAAGGTGTCTGCCCTGGGGACCAAGAATACCCTCCCCTTGGGGCTTCAGGAGCCCAGCGGGCGTTTGCTGCCCCTGGCGTCACCCGTGGCATTGCCTTGTGTCCTTCAGACACTTCTGAACCAGCCGTGCACCTCCTTGACTGTTGGCTCTGAGTGGGATGTAAAGTTGTCTGTCACCTTGTGTTTGGGAACTGCACTGGGGTGTTTGAGTCCCCTTGGGTGTCGCAGTGCTCTAGGTTCTGATTACTGGTTGAGGACATTTGGGTACTGTATTTTACACTGTAGCTGCAAAAGATGAATTTCAGAGACACATATACATAGGTCTGACTTTTGGCCGTCCACATCCCACACTAAAAGTATCATACCAGAGGACCTCTTTCTGGCCACCGAAGACATCAGTCAGGCCGACGGCAGTGCTTCCAAGCTAAATGTTCATCCTGTCCATCAGCTGCACATTGTCCTGTTTAGATCTCTTTACAGAGCTGAAAGCTGTCTGGGATGATCTTGTTTTTCCAACTGCCCGCCTCCTTCTGCTGCTAGGATGCAGGTCCTCCAAAAGTGGAGGGTTGGTTCTATTCCTCATTCTTAGTGTTGAGAACTCAGCCTACCACACTTCAGGGCCACAATACACACTTATGGAATGAATGAATGTAAGCTTCTCCGTGGTTATGAGAATATTTATTTCACAGCTGGTTTTGATTATCATCGTTTTCCTTTTTTATTTGTAAAATTAATAAATGGCAATAACTACTGCTGTTGCACTTCCAATAATCATCAACGTATTGGTTGGGAGCTCTGTATAGATTGCATCATTGTACATTACAGTAGTCTGATTAGGTTTTTTAAATCCTTTTTTTTAAAAAAAAGATTTATTTGTGTGTGTATTCACAAACCTCTGCTTGTGCATACAGGTTGGTGGTTAGAGGACTTTAGTAGTGAGTTTTCTTTCTCTCTCTCCACTGTGGGATCCAGGGATCAAACTCTGGGTAATCGGGATTGGTAACAACACTGACTTTTACTCTATGAACCATCTCTCTGACCCAAGTTAGACATTTTTTAGTGAATTGGAAATTTGGGCTCATGTGGATTAACTTATTGCTCCAAGGCAAACATGATTCTAGGACTATGATTCTAGGCTGTTTTTCTCATGTGTTAGGTTACTTCTAAGAGCTGAAAATATGATTTCTACTTTTACAGCCAATGGACATGTTGCTCAGCTGAAAGAGTTGCTGTTTTAGCCCTGAGATCTGTTTTCAGTAATGACTAATAGTTGTAGGCCAGATACTACCAGAGTGCACAGGACATCTTATGTCCTAATCTTCACCATCTTGACAGGCTTCACCACCCAGGGAAACTGCAGCTGAGTTCAGGAATTTGCCTGGGGTCAGTAGTAATTCCCAGAGCTCTTCATTATCTTTCTACTCTAAATCCTTAGCTCCTTCCACTATACTCTGATGTCTCTTGTCTCGCTATTTACTCAATGTTAACGCAGTGATGCAGCTCACTGGTAAAATGCTCAAATGATATCTGAGGCAGGGCTGTAAGCTTTGTGGTGCCGGCCTCAAATTGACCCAGGTATACTATTTCTGAATGGTGGAGGCTCTCACAGCCATTGATTTTTGTGGTTGAGTATACGGTTTCTGGGCTTGGTTGATCGGGGGCTTTTAATAGGGGAGGAAAGGAAATCCTGCTTTCAACCAAACCCAAAAAGAAATCAGGCTGTTTCTAGTCAATGAGCTTGGAGTGGCAATGCTTTTCGTCTTGTTAGGAAAGTGCTGGAAATATGGGTAGTCCCTTTCTGCTCAGACCTAGAGACCACTCACCCCAGAAGGCTCTGCAGGGACTTTTCCATAAAATAAGGGTATTTCTGCTCTTTCCACCTTTGCATGACACTGAGGGTGTGGAGAGGCTTGGAAAGAGATGGTATGGTTGCCTCCTAATGGGCCAGTGGCAAAGAGGACAGGCAGAGGGACATAGGCATCCCCATTTCCTCTTCGTTCTGTGTCTAGCCAGTTCTGGGGCAGTAAGGCGTTTCTCCCTGCATGAGGGTCTGGATAACCCATCATGTGATTTATAATGAGCTCCTTGGCAGGACTATCTTTTCTTAATTGACATTTCCGTTTGGAGAGCTCCAGGGAGGGCTGGATTAGACTGCCCCTGGAAGTGAGGTTGTGAGGTGTCAGGGACTGTGGGAGCTATTAAGCTGGAAAGCTTTCCATTCATAATTGAGAGCTGTACAGTTTTTCTGCAAACTCCCATTCTGTCTAAATCCACTTATTCATCAGCTTTCTGGCCTTCTCTAGAAACTTCTGTTTCTTCTTCTCAGTTACAACTGTTCAGATCACATTCCTGCTCCCTCCACCCTTGTCGCAGGTCTTTGCTGGGTTGCAGTGCCTTAGTTCAGGCTTTTCACTCTGCCTTAACTTTGCCTACAGGTGTATTTTCCCTTCTCCTGTCTACCATGTGCAGCAAGGCAGATTCTTTAAGAACTGTCATTATTGTAGTGTTAACACATTCTTGGGTGGCTTTTACAGTTACAAACAATATTGGTTACAGCAGTGGCTTTGAACTTAGGTGCAGAGAGTACTGTCATGAGGAGGTGCTGGCCATGCATCACCTCTATCCATCATAAAAGCCACATCAAAGCAGGTGAGTTATACTTCAGGGACAAGGTGAGTCTAGGAAATGCTCAGTCAATTTGATTCTAATAAAATGTTGGAGCTGAGAGTCAAACCCCAGCTCCCTTTCAGTTAATGTAGACTCCTTAGGCTAACTCAAGGTTTGCGATGGTAGGTTCAGCCTTGGCTTTCACTTCAGCATTCCTGACCTGTGTGGTGTCACCAGAGCATCTGTCTGGTCTTGCCCATGTATGCCTATTGCCTTCAGCGCTCTCTCACTGCTTTGCTCTGGAAGAACCTAGATCTTTCGAGTCTCAGCTCAGAAACTACTTCTAGAAGCATAATCTCTGCAAACCCAAACTGTCAGAGCACATAGAAAACAAAAACTAAAACAAGGCAGGGTCTAACTATGCATCTCTGGCTGGCCTAGAGCTCTTTGTGTAGACCAGGCTCTTTGTGTAGACTCAGTGTTCCACCTGCCTCTGCCTGCTGAGTGCTGAGATCAAAGCTTGTGCCACTGTGACTAGCCGTGTCAAAACTGTTTTTTTTTTTAAAAGTGCGAATGAGCTCCCAGTTCCTTTTATATCTCCTGGCCCTTCCATCCCCTTGCTTTCTTCCCCACTTTTTGCATTTAAATGTGCTGCCCCTTTCAGACTTTATTTATATTATTATTATTAATTATTGTGTGCATGCATGGAGTATTTGTGTATGTTCATGCAGGAACACATGCATATCTGTCTCTCTGTTGCTGTGGGTACTGGGGATCCTAACTCATGACTTCATGTTTGCAGTGAGCACTTTGCCATCTCCCTAGTTCCCTTTCCCAGATTTTAAATGTCTTGAAGGCAAAGGGAGCGGATTATTCTTGTTTCTATCCTTGACATAAGGATCTGGTGTCCTATTGACAGAAAATACTCAATTAAAACATTAAACAATTACATTTGGTTACATTACATTATATTTTAAAAAGCACTTGGAATGTGCTGTTTTATTTTATTTATTTATTTTTAATGCAGGGTGTTGTTTTATGGCTCCAGGTTGAACTTAACCATTTCCTTGCCTCTCTTTGCTAAGTGCTGGAATTATGGGCATGAGCCATCCTGCCCAGACCTATTTTCTAGTATTTGAGTCATAATACTTTAATGCCCTTATAAGTTTATGCCAAAGCAACAGAAGAGCTAGTGAAATCCCTGGGAAGCACCTGTTTGAGCACTCCCCATTTAAGGCCACAAAGGGAATCATAAATTCTTATATATAACAAACACTGTAGGATAAATACCATGTATGAAATGCACACGGTTTTTTCATGTCTGTGCTAATGCTGTTGTTATTGAAAACCCATTACAGGGTCTGTGAGATGGCTCACTTGACAAAATGTTTGTCTTGGAGCCCTAAGGACCTCCGTTTCATTCCTAGAACACTGGTGTTTGCAATCCTATACTGGGGAGGCAGAGACAATTGGATCCTGGGGCTTGATGGCTATCCTACATAGGTTATCTCCTGGATTCCATACATGTACACACATATACTTGAACTGGCACACATGTATGCCTGCACACACACACACACACACACACACACACACACACACACCAGTTATTTTGGAATTCATTCTATCTTTTTGTGGAATTTTATTACCAACGAATATTTCAGAGTTTAATAAGATTTCAGAGGCTGGTCTGAATCAGGTCCAGCCCCGTCCAACCTTATAGCTCACCAGTGATCACTTGAACTGCTGAGTGACAGCGCCCCATTGCTAGGGCCATGCTGGAAAGGGATCTTTTGTATTATTCTTCATGATCATCCCTCCTTATCTGTGTTTACCCTCCTCATGATTAGTCATGGCTCCCATTTCAGTGTAGACACAGCATCCAGGAAGCCTTCCTCTGCCTCCTTCAAATCAAATTGGAGTTG